TACTGATAAAGTCCATTGATTTTATGAGGCTGAACATTTACTGTTCACTAGAATATATCAGATGGAAACATAAGTAAATTATTTCAAAAGCTGACTGCGCTGTAACAATCGAAACAACATAACACAGATTCGAGCATTCAATGTATCTTAAGGCAGGTCCACACTTTTACGGATCCGGTTTTAATTTTACACACCGATATAAAATTATGATTATCCTTGTCTATCGATATAAAATCTTTTTGGATGATTGAAAATAATTTAGCAAGTATCTATTTGTTTATTAAAGTTTTATTGTGCACATAAAGCATTTAATGTACATTATTTATAGGAATCACCACTTTGCACTCTGTCCATAGGTTCTATATGTAATTTAGTACATACACAGACCGAGAATTCTTAATTGCCGTTATGGACCTAAAGCTTTTAATTTTTTTTCAAACAAACAAACTTGAGATCTATTTATCTTTAATTTTTAGCCTATATCATCATTTTAAATTTACTTTTTTATAAGTTTTGCTAAGAACGATTGCAAAAAAAGATATTCCAAAAATGGGGGTGTAGGTGTTCAAAAGGCTGTTTTGTAAAAACTTTCTGGTCAACCATAATAAAGTATGTTTTTTTGCTAACCTAAGATATAATTCTAAATAATTGTGAAGAAAAAATAGCATATAAACATAAAAGATTTTGAGAAATATGTAAAATAAAGATATTTTGAGCCTTTTCTCTGAGAGATTTTGACACAATCAACATCAATTTTTTAGTGTTTTCAAATAGAAATTTCAAATATTTTCTTGACAAATGAATATTTATGATTTTCCAAAGTTTTAACAATAATTGGTTGTAATATGGTACATAGCTTAATAAAATATGATGTTACACTTCTATATGTTGAATTTTGGCTGTTAAAGTTTTAGAGGTATATACTCCGAGACATGTTGCATGAAAATTAACCTGCAAAGATATGTTTTTTATGGGTATTTTAGTTAGATTATGACTTATATAAGATTTTCAAATCAAAAAATAAACAGTTTGACAGAAAATTCTGAAAGTACGGACCAACCTTAAGAGCTAGTCAGCGAGGAAACCATGCAAAAATCAAAAATCGTTCAAATGGGAGGTTGCAACTTAGGAGTTTTTAGTGGCTTAAAATTTTCTACATAAAGGTAAAAGTCAGAATATTCACAAAAAATGTCGAACCCTGCATCTATTTTTAGCAACAGCTCATGTGCATATTTGTCGGAAATTATACAAAATTGATCTCAAGTCAAAAAGTTACCTTTTGTCATCAATTCATTTTCAAATGTTGTTTTATTTTCAAAGTCATGGTTCAATTAACACAATTAATGAGAAAAAACTTAACTCAAATGAATGTTATATTTTTTACACATCGATTTATAGATCCTAAATAAATGAGTATGATTTTTAACCATTTTCTGATGCTCATTTCACTGAAGACGAAGGTTGAAATTAAATTAAATTAATTCTTACTTGAAAAATGATCTAAGGTCTACGTTGTATAAAAATATTGAGCTTGGGAAATACTATCTACATGTTGTAAATTAACTTTGAAATACCATTTTTTGCTACAATTTCACCTATTCTAAATAACAGTCTTTTACCATATTTTTGGATTATTTATATGATATTTAATTGAAAAAGAGAAGATTCTTCGTCTAAGGTATTTATTAGAAGAGGAATAACTGTTTTGGATACTTCATATAACTATCTTTTGCTTATTCTAGCCCCTTTTTACCAATTTGCTGGAGTTAGATTGTTATCTCCCCTTTTTCGAACTCTTTAGTATTATTGGGTAAAAAGTGACAGGTATGATCATATTTTCTTCACCAAGGGAGTTGTTGTGGAGCATTATTGCACTATGAAGAGGGAAAAACTTATTTTAAGATATTTGAATGTAAGAAAGAAACAACATAAACAAATAGCAGGCCCATAGGAAGCCTATAGGAAGCAATTCCATTATCAACTACCAAGATTTCCATAGAAAGTAAAAAAAAATTACAGGTCATCAGATTTTTTTTTTTGGGGGGGGGCATATACATGTAGTAGCTATGTTTTCTATAAGGTTCTGTCCTCGGGGAATCTACATGTATTTCATGGGTTTTTTTTTTATTGTCTCAGCAACTTGTTTTGTCATCAGTTGAGAAGATATAAGAATATTCAAACAGGTATTTGATTGCATGCTCTCAACAAATTAAAAAATAATTGGTAAATTCAATCTGCATGTAAAATGTTTACGTTTCATAAATTTAGTGTGTTTTTAAGTTAACCAAACACCGTCATTCCAACAAATAATTTTAATTTTACATTACATACTTTAAACTACGGTGTTATGTAACATTCATATACTGATAAAGTCAGATCTCCCATTTAAAATCATCAGCTCAAAAGGAGATGCCACCGATTCAGGTACCCCACCGTTAAAAGACCCTCGATAAATATTGGTAAAATTATTCGGAGGAGGGTACCTCCTTCCCCCAAGAAAATATGAGTCGTTACTGCAGCCATAACTTTGCCAGTTTGCAGTACAAAGTGGAAAAAACTTAAAACCGGCTATAAATACCATAAAAGACTGGATTAATATTCAAACAAATTGGAAGGGGGGGGGGGCTATCACATTTTGTCAAAATTATTTTCAAAACACTATTAATAAAATTGTATAAGGCTTTGTAAATCAATATTTTACATTTTCTGAATAACCATAAAGGTATTATTAATTCCATTCTAGAGAGAGATAAATTGTTTTTTTTCAATGTTATATGTATCCACACTGAAATAGTTGGGGGAGGGGACGTGTCAGTCGATCAAGGTCAGGATAATAAATATATATATATATCTAGCACCCAATCGTTTAACCCCATCCAACTCCCCACAATTTACACACTAATATTGAAATGGATAAAATAATGAAAAATGATAAGGGTTCTGGAGGGGTGTTGCTAAAACGAGGAACGGAACACGAAAAAACGTATTATATTTTTTTTATTTTAGATAAAATCACTTTAAATACACAAATTTAAAACAATATATATTTTATTCGTGTTCGTAAAATCTCTTATTCACGAAAATCGCAGTCATAGCAGTGACGTAGAAACGATTTTGAAAGGGTCGGGGGGGGGATAACTTACCTGCAAAGAATTTGCCAAGCGAAAAAAAGAAGACAATTGTTTGATTCGGGAGGTGGGATAAGAGTAAACTCCAGCATCTTTCATTTTTTTAAAACTCCTTTACGGAGTATTTTGCATAACATCTGTCAGTATTTTTATAAGATTGTACCTATTTCAAATTGGCAGAAAGCAATCACTGAACTGAAGGCTCAAATTTTATAGGTTCAAATCTCAAAATTTATGTGAATGATACTGAAATAGAGTCCGTTTAAATTTAAATACTTGTAATTTCCCATTCATTAATTAAAAAGAAACTAACTTACAAAATGTAGTGAACATAAATTATATAGTCATATGATTGTTGAGAAATTGCAAGAAAGCCAATACAATTTATTATGCTTTTTCATTTCTAAACAAGTGGCAAAATGCTAATCTTTATATTAGGGGTAATGTCTGACAATTTAGTTTAATTTGATTTTCAATTTTAATATTTTTCAATCTTAATAATTATTTTACAGAAAATTGTTACATGTTTCAATATCTAACAACAATTGTTTATAATTTAAAGTACTATATTTGACTTTGTAACCCATTTGAGTTTGGGCGAATTTTTCGAAAATTGGCAATTTGTAAATCCCCATATCTCAATTATTTATCATTTCCCAAGCTCAATAGTTTGCAAAGATAGTATTTAGAGTTATATTTGTACAATAAAATCAAAAAAAAATTAATTTCAAAGATACGTCTTGGAAGATTTAAGGCATGAAATTTGTAATACTTTTGGCAATTCTTGAAAATTGGCATCATGGCAATTTTCAAGAGATGTCTGTCCTTTGATATATTTCATATTTGATTATGATAAATGTCAATTTTGAAAGAACATATTCTCATATTACTTAAAAATACCTTGAAGTTAATGGAAATGCAAGTTTAATTTTGAGTAAAATAATTCAAATGTGAATTTTACCATTTTTCTTGAATATTTTAAGTGCATTTGCACTTAAATGTGCAAAAAAGGAGGTGGCGCTGTCTACGGCTGCCATGTTGAATGATGGGAATTTTTTGGTCATTTTTAATTACATATTGTAAAGTATAACTACCCACCAAATTTCATTAAGATATGACAACCTTCGAATTGGACAGTTCTGCATGGTTTTCTCGCGGACTGACTCTTAGGTACCTAAACTAAGTATATGCAACTTTAAGATTAGTTTATTAAATTTATGTATGTAAAATAGTGTAGAAGACATTTTCGTTAGGTTGAACTGTAGCTCTCTGGACGTCAATTTTATTTTTTAGACCAGTGAGCTACAGATCAGTGTTTTTAGCCAAGATTTAAAAGAAAAAAACATCAAACTCTTTCACAGAGTTTCATTAGATATAGACAAACAATGAATGTAGTTATAAGCTGATTTTAGCAATGATCTTGTGATCAACTTACCTATAAAGAAATGTTAATACACTATTCAAATAAGAAAGGGATACTGTAGTGCTTAAATGTACAAAAAGATACGAAACCTGGCTTATTTCATTAACCAGGAAGTATTTGAAAAGAAATTAAACACTCAAATACATGAACATCAATCCAACTTTCACGATCTGCACCAGATACTCATGATGATCACGTCACAAATTTGCATGGCAGGTTAAACTAAAATGAATACTCAGAAGATTTTAATTGTATATATGCATGTACTAGGAACGCTACAGGTTGGCACAAGACAGGACGCTGTTCCATGGTCAATGAATGATTCCCCGTCTGTTATCAGCATATTATGGTCCAGACATCTCACGCGTGCTTCAAGGTCTGTTCAGGTTAGATCACGATCCAGTCGACTAAGGGCAACAACGCAGGCTGAGGACAGATTCATCCTACAGCACAGGATTCCGAATAAATTGAAAAAAATATCCTACTTTTTTTCTCATTTGTTTTCTTCCTGACGCCATGACCTGAATTTCATTGTCCTTGTAAATAGAATATCCACTACTTTTTGAATAGTATACTACATAACTATACTTCCATACATTGTTAGGATGTTACGAGTAATAAAAAAAATATTCATTTATACTCAAGGTCTAGGTTCTGATAAGCACACTGATTTTCGGATGCTTGCATTATTTCATAAGAGTTCTTTTCGTCGTTGACATTCAAGTCCTGATAATTGTGTACGTTATCATCTGAGGTATTGGTCTTTGGAGAAGCAGTCGGTTCGCTTTTTGTGCCTTTAGTTGCAAACTTTGGAATTCTTTCCTTAAAACCGTTGCAGCTGTGTGATCTGTAAAAGTTAAGTATAAAGCTTTACACCGTATGCCAAATTGAAACTTTTACAATATTGTCTCAAAATATTGTTTTTAATTTTTTAATCGATCAAATGAAAATTCTTATGACAGATATCCGTTTAGTTTATTTTATATGAAAAGGGCATAATAATTACTTTTTTTTCAAATTGAAGTAAATTGAAAGGAACTTGTCACCGATTGAAAAGTTTGTTTTGCTTGTTTTGTGTATTATAACTTTTTCCTTATATACACCGTGGAATGATTTTTCCTATTTGCTAAATTTTTGTACAGTGTAAATAACAAGAGGCCCATGGGCCACATCGCTCACCTGAGACGCTTTGACCATTCTGTTCTTTACCAGATTTCCTCCTTATAATTCATAATGCATCCCCGCCCTACCCCACTGATCATAATTTAGACATTTTGAAATCTACACTACCCCAGGATCCTTCCATGTGCACATAAGTTTCAACTTTTCTGGCACAGTGGTTCTTAAGAAGAAGATTTTCAAAGATATTTCCTGTATATTCCTAATGTAAAAATTTGATTCCCCATTGTGGCCCCGCCCTTCTCCCGGGGGTCATGATTTGGACAATTTAGAATCTACACTAGCTCCGGATGCTTCCATATAAGTTTCAGCTTTTCTGGCCCAGTGGTTCTTGAGAAGAGGATTTTCAAAGAATTTTCCTTTATATTTCTATGTAAAACTTTGATTCCCTATTGTGGCCCCGCCCTTCACCCAGAGGTCATGATTTGAACAATTTAAAATCTACACTAGCCCAGGATCCTTCCACATAGGTTTCAGCTTTTCTGGCCCAGTGGTTCTTGAGAAGATTTTCAAAGATTTTTCCTATATATTCCTATGTAAAACTTTGATTCCCCATTGTGGCCCCGCGCTTCCCCCGGGGGTCATGATTTGACCAAATTAGAATCTACACTATACCAGGATGCTTCCATATAAGTTTCAGGTTTTCTGGCCCAGTGGTTCTTGAGAAGAAGATTTTCAAGGATTTTTCCGATATATTTCTATGTAAAACTTTGATTCCCCATTGTAGCCCCACCCTACCCCCAGGGGTCATGATTTGAACAAACTTGAATCTACACTACCTGAAGATGATTCCACATGAGTTTCATCTCTCCTGGCCCAGTGGTATTTTAGAAGATTTTTAAAAAATGCCATTAATTTTTCTCCAATTCATAATTATCTCCCCTTGGAAAAGGGCATGGCCCTTCACTTGACCAAACTTGAATCCCCTTTACCCAAGAATACCTTGTACCAAGTTTGGTTGAAATTGGCCCAGTGGTTCTTGAGAAGAATATGAAAATGTGAAAAGTTTACAATGACAACGCCGACAACGACAGACAACGGACAAATTGCGATCAGAAAAGCTCACTTGAGTGAGCTAAAAAAAACATTCAGAGTATGATATATACCTCAAGTAAAAGTGAACAAAGGCAGCTATGAAACAAAGTGAATATACTGCAACTACTACGGAAAGTCCTACTGTTGATGCACTTGTGGAACTATCCCCTGGAATAAAGTGAAAAGTTGATTATCTTGAAAATACTATGAATCAAAAATTTTCAAGTTAATTTAATTTTTGATGTTTACATGGTAATAAGAAAAATTCATTGCCCCTGGAGATAAGAAAAATTCCGTGCTGCTCATTCACTACAAAATGAAATTCCCCGAAGCATTTGATATTCCCCGAACTTCAAAAAATAATCTCACTAGATTTTTTTTTTTTATTTAGCAGTAGTTTGGGTTAAAATAAAATCTCCCTAATAACACACAAAAAGTTTATATCTAAATTAACACTTATTAGTAAACTATTAAAATTTTTCTCTGCTTTTATATTATTCAATACAGATTAAGAAAGGATACATGTAACGATCTTACGAAGAAAGTCACAAGCTACTCCAACATAATTATCTTTACACCCTAGAGAGCAACTTCCATCATATCTGCTGCAGGTCTCTTCACTGACACATTGACCGCTACATCGATATTGACAGTTTATACCGTAAAATCCAGGTAAACATTCTAAAATATAACATTATACAAGTTTGTATTGCACCACTTTTTGAAAACCAATAATCAAATTGTTCAAGGTATAAAAAAGTTGAAGATATAATGTAGTTAAGCTGTTTAGAATTAAGTTTTGTTTTCTTCCTGTATGACATTCTTTAAAGGATAAATGTATGGAAAAGCATTAGTCTGCATATTTCAAGAGTTACATGTAGCAAATTCAAGTGTTTATTAAATACCTCTTGAACAGTTTGGCAGTAAATCCAGGTACACATTTACAGGAACCATCGATATTTCCACAAGTACCAATACAGTTAGGAGAACAAATTCCAGAGCAATTTAAACCGTACGAACCAACAGGACAAACTAAAAAAAAAGATTTTGATTTAAGTATAGCCACTAACCAAAGAGTTAGGGGTCTTACATAATTTATATTTTTGAAATATTACAATATTTAGATTTCTATTTAATGTTTAGATTTCTATTTAAACTACAGTTTTCTATTTTATTCATTGTAGCATTTAATTGATACAAATTTCCTTTAAGTTTTTAAGTTAAGCAGATGGCTTGTAAATACTATATCTAGTACATTGTTATCTAGTCTTTGAAGTCAATTTAGTTAATCCCTGTGCAATTATCTTTTGTGACGCTGAAGACAGTATAGGTGTCACAGTAATTAACACTTTACCTAGCCATATAAATCTATTGTACAGATGTCAAAGAATCTTGAGTAAATCAAACAATCACTCAATTTACCTTAAGGCTAAGATTATATTTTATCAAACAAAGAACAAGAGATAATCTGAGTAGTGGTTTAGCAGTAAGAGAGTTAGGAGCTAGGGCTAGAGCAAGCAGCTGGCAGACCCAGTCTTGGATTGTAAATAATGTACAAATTACTCCTTTAATAAAGACTGTAAAGACATTTTATCTTATGTCTTACTCCTTGACAAATCCATGTCAAGGACAGTAACCATGTCTATTGGTTACTGCGTGACCCAGTGTTGAGGCCAAGTGTGCACATGTGTGCAATAGGGTGCACTACTTATTCCGGGTGGACCCCTACCCTCCCCGCCGGCCAGTCACATAAGGTACAACAGAAAAAAGCATATTATTTAAATAGAATGCCAACTATAAAAATCTGCTAAGATTAGATATTTTAAATGTCTCATTTTTTTAACAAAGAAAGGTGATTGCAAGTAAAAACGTACTTAAATTTGTCAAATCTATTGTTGAATCCATGGAAAGAAAGCTACTAATACGATTTATCCGATAAATGTTCTCATTGAGAAAGTTTCCCGGATAATTTATCTAGAAATTTCAGTTTTTTGTGACTGTTTAATCTTGCTGTAAAATTTGCTAATATGTGTTATTTTGATTTTTTTTATTTACTGTCAATCCAGAAAATAGATCCCAAAGAAATGCAAAAGTGAATGCTAATTGATAAACGAAAGATCTTTTATTATGTTTTACATTAAATTACTTAATTTTTATTTTATAATATTTTTAAATATTTATTCCAAATGTAAAAAAACAGACAAATAATACTGCCTAAAATCAAGAAAAAGAAATTTTCTAGAGAATTAAATATCCTTTGTCTTAATCAAATACAGTTATCCATCACACTGGTTGTAAATCATCTTTTCTTCATTTCATGTTATTTCAAAAACAAAAATTTTAGTTTGTACTTTAATGTACTGATAAAATTTAATTTCATTTTCAATTTAGATATACCTTTACTACAGAGGGATCCAAAATATCCAGGAGCGCAACCTTTGCTGCAGATGCCATTTACAATGTTGCAAGTCTCATTGTAAAGACAGTTTCCGCTGCAAATATTCGCACACTTGACTCCAAATTTTCCAAAGGCACAAGCTTTGATCGATGTAAAATTCCAATATTAATTATTTTTTTATAAGGTAAAGTAGATTTTAAAAAATATCAAAAAATATCTTTGTTAATCTCATTTCAGATTTTCAAGGAAGGGATGGTCTTAAAGATATTTAAATGAGGGGTAATTGCAGTATAATGCATTATGCTACATGTAAAAAAGCAATTGACAAACAAAAGTATTTTTATTCATCCTAAATACCTTCATCGCAGAGTTCTCCCCTGTACCCGGCATTACATCCAGAGTCACAATGCCCATTTTCCTCGTTACACGTGGCATTATTCTCGCAATGACCACTACAGTTAAAGGCACAATTTGGGCCAAAATTTCCATAGTCACATTCTACAACAGATAACAAACAGAATTTTTTTTATAACAAATTTCGTACTTAATACATTATTCTTTTCTCCATGCATTCCCTCTACAGTACGAAGTTTGAATACCTCTTTTGGTGGAGTTTTTATGCTTAAAAACCCGATTCCTGAATTTTTTTGTTAACTGGTTATTTTATTTTATTTAAATTTTTCTCTGAACCAAACATATTTACGTTTTTCACAAAATGTCCCTGTCCATCCTGCTGCACATTTCTCCGGACATTCACCAGTCACGTGATTGCAAGGTAACTCATTCAGGCAATGTCCTGAACACTGATATTTACAGTCTAAACCATAAGACCACGATGGACATTCTATTATTGTAAACAAAAGACCACTGACAAAATTTTAAATAATAAACTTTTGATGATACAACGTATTAACGTAAAGTGTTATGTTACTAGTTTCCATTAGCAACAATAATACAAAGCACATTTCGATCTGCGTTTCTTTGGAAAATAAAGAAAATTGTAAAAAAAAAAAAAGAAATCTCAATAAAAAGCATTTATTTTTTTCCATGATGGAATCTTGCACTTGTGTCCACAACTGCAAAAACTGTTTTTGACATTATCAACGTATTCCACAAGTAACTACTGTACAATTTTGAAAACTAAGACCACCTTACTTTAAATTTATTCAGAATTTAATGGTATCAAATTGATCTATGACTAATTATATCAACAATTAACATTTCACCATGCGATAGAGTTACTGATTGAATGAAAAATAATACGAAAATTTGAATATAAATGAGATATTAATCCGTGGCAACAGAGTTGAAGGGGATATAATAACTTCAAAAATGTCTACCTTTATTACAGAATCCTCCCCTCCATCCAGGTTTACAAGAAAAGCATGTTCCATTAACAATGTGGCATGTGTTATCCTGGCAATTTTCAGGGCACTGCAAGTCGCAATTAATTCCATAAAACCGTACATCTTCACAACCTTTGCAGAAATAAGAATAAGGACTTTATGAATTCTTTGTTTGTTGATGTAGGATGTATAGGTGCTGCCTTAAAGGAAACTTTAAGCAGATGCTATGCTTACCTAACACAATCACTTCACATAACTCTGTATACGACAACATTCCGTACCCATCCGGATATTGAACTCCTGGTAGCCTTTCATTGTAGAAGAACAGATAACGTGCATAACCTACACAGGTTGTATTGAAATCCAGTGAAGGTAGACTTGGACCATCCTTATAACAAAGTAATCCATCTTCAATATTTGAAGAATTAGACAGAAAGAGGGAAAAACCAGCAAATCGACCTTTTTGTCTTAATTCTGAAAAAAGAAACAAACATGTTTCATTGTCTCCTGAACAATGTTTGTATTTTTGAATACCGTTCAACGGATTTTAATCAAATACATGCCAATGCAAGATATCGCTTTTTTATGAGAATTTGATAGCACTTGTCATAAGAGGATTCAGAGGGGGTGGGGGCATATTTCCTTTCCTTTTCATTTTATACAAGTTGAAAAAGAAATGGCACACTGAGTTTGAAATCAAGCAAAGACTATATTTTTGGTGGAATGGAGGCGTATT